GAAAGCGTTCGACGACGCGGGGAAGTCTGCGGAAGTCTACTGGGCGGATAAACCAGAGAGAAAGAAATTGGAAGGGAATCTAGAGGAATATTCTCTCAGATTTTCTTTCCTTCCACAAGATTTCCTTTCCTTCCGTTGGGGAAATAATTTTCTGCATTTAAGAACTTTCCTCTGCAGGAGGGATTCAATGGAGGAAAATTGCTGGCTGTGGGTCCGATTAATTTCATTCTTCTTGAGAAAAAAAAGAAAATTTTTTGAATTCATTAATTTAAAGGAAATATTTTAATTAATGAAAATTTAATTAAAGAAACTTAATCAAGAAAATATTTCAATTTTTTTTTTCAAAAAAACCATTTTACTTTTTGAAAAAAAAAACTTAATTAAGGGAATCTAATTAAAGAAAATTTTTTAATTTTTTCTTGAGAAAGATTCTCAGCAAAGAATTTGCAGAATAATTTGTTATATGATCAATTTCAAATGACAATATCTGGTGCGAAATTTGAGGTGGTGAAGTTCGATGGAACTGGTAACTTCGGATTGTGACAAACAAAAGTAAAAGATCTGTTGGCTCAACATAGAATCTTGAAAGCTTTGCGGGCAGCAAAACTAAATGTCATGGAGAATGAAGATTGGAAAGAATTGCAACAACGAGCGGCAGCAACTATACACATATGCATGACAGATGAAGTTATGTATCACGTGATGAATTTAAAATCTCTAGGGGAGATATGGAAGAAATTGGAAACCTAGTTTATGACTAAATCTCTGACGAATAAATTGCATATGAAGCAAAAACTGTACGGGTTGAAGATGCAAGAATGTTCTGATCTAGCGCAACATGTTAATGGCTTCAATCAAATAATCACAGACCTGTCACGACTTGATGTGAATATTGAGGATGAAGATTGAGCGATGATTTTGTTATGTTCACTGTCTTCTTCCTATGAACCCCTGATGATTATTCTTACATATGGGAAAGAAACAATCATGGTTGACGAGATTACTGCAGCATTGTTGGCTCACAACCAGCGGGAGCAGAATGCAGGGGAAAGCTCTCATGACGACAGTTTATATGTTAAAGATAAACAACATCGTGGAAGGAAGAAAGAGAAGAAGGGTTCTAGAAGGTGAAATTTCAGATCCAAGTCCAAAGGCAAAAAGATAATTCATTGCTACAATTGTAAGGAGTTAGGTCATATGAAGAGAGATTTTCTAAAGTTGAAGAAGCAGACTGGGAAGAAAGGTGATGCATCATCGAAGTCTTTAAATATGGTGCAGAGTGACAATTCAGATTGCAGTGATGGTGATATGCTTTCAGTTTCATCAACTCAGTTCACAGATGCATGAATTCTTGATTCAGGATGCTCTTATCACATAACACCTAACAGAGAGTAGTTTACTTCTTACAGGTCAACTAATTCTGGCTCAGTTTATCTAGGTGATGATAGATGCTGTTGGTATTGGAAAAGTCAGAATTAAGATGTATGATGACATCGTTAGAACATTATGTGATGTCAGACATATTCCAAATTTGAAGAAGAATTTGATTTCCTTGGGCACTCTACACATAAATGGTTTTATTCCTAAGTCAGATGAGGATAGGAAAACCATCAGAATTGTTAAGGGTGCACTGACGGTGATGAAAGGAAAGTTAACTGCATGCAATATCTACAAATTGTTGGGGAGTGCAGTTGTAGGTGGAGTTCATTCTGTGGAGTCAGATGATTATATTACAAAGTTGTGACATATGCGTCTAGGTCTTCTCAATGAACGTGAGATGGCGAAATTGCAAAGAAAAAACCTGTTGCACTGTGTTAAAAGTTGTAAGCTCGATCTTTATAAGTTATGTGTTTTTGGAAAACGACTGGAAATAATAAAACTAAAGGGATTCTTGATTATGTGCATTCTGATGTATAGGGCCCTACCAGAGAATCTTCATTGGGAGAATCTCAGTATTTTGTTACATTTATTGATGATTTGTCCATGAAAGTTTGAGTGTATTTCTTGAAGCAGAAATATGAAGTCTTCTCTCAATTCAAGTTGTAGAAAGATGAGGTGGAGAACCAAACTGACAGAAAGATCAAGTATTAGAGATCTGATAATGACACATAGTGCACAGATTCGCAGTTTCAGAAGTTCTATAAGGAGCATGGGATTCAAAGACATTTTTCAGTGCGCAAGACACAACAGCAGAATGGTGTGGCAGAAAGGATGAACATGTCCTTAACTGAAAGGGCAAGATGTTTGAGACTGAATGCAGGGCTTCCTAAGAGTTTCTAGGCAGAGGTTGTGAATATGACTTGCTATCTCATCAATAGATCACCTCGGGCATCTCTGGGTGGCAAGGTCGCAAAAGAGGTATGGACAGGTAATCTAATTAAGTTCGATCATTTATGGATTTTTGGTTGTCTTGCTTATGTGCATGTACTTGGAGATGAAAGATCAAAACTTGATGCAAAATCCAAGAAGTGCATCTCTCTGGGTTATAAAAAGGTGTGAAAAGATACAAGTTTTAGGATCCGATTGCAAAGAAGATGGTGATCAGTTGAGATGCAGTTTCTGATGAACAGTTCATGTTGCAGCAAAATCAAGACAATGTGTCAAAAAATAGTTTCAGTTCAGAAAAAGTGCAGATGGATTTAGAACGACATCCAGAAACAACTGAGAGAGTTGAAGGTTCAAATCCAACACCTGGTGATTCCATTCCAGATGATTTGCAGAATTAAAATCTAGCCAGAGACAGACAGAGACGCACCAATATAAGATCTTATGAAGACTTGGTCTCTTGTGCACTTCTCATCAGTAGCGATGATCCAGCCACTTTTCAAGGAGTTATCACTAGTCAGGAGAAAGAGAAATGATGGGTGCAATGGTTGAGGAGATGGAGTCTTTGCAAAAAAAATCGCACATGGGAGCTAGTTCAGCTTCTAGAGAGAAATAAGGCTATTATG